CCTCCCCAAACTTAAAATCAAAGAAAAAATACAATTTAACACAAGTTTTCCGGGTTTTTGAAAAAAATAAATTTTTAGTGTTTATCCCTGCAGATTTCTTAGTTGACAAATTATGATAAATTGGTTTGAGAATTCCAATGTTGCCCTTGTAGGCTAGTACGCTTCTCCCACACTTTAACACACCATTATACAGAGGGTACAGGTGGTAGGTGTCAGCTGGTTCTGATGGGTAGGTGTCCTGGTAAGATGGGTAGGTGTCCTGGTAGGGATGGGTAGGTGTCCTGGTAGGGATGGGTAGGTGTCCTGGTAGGGATGGGTAGGTGTCCAGGTAGGGATGGGTAGGTATCCATAGGTAGGTGTCCTGAGAGGGATGGGTAGGTGTCCTTGTAGGGATGGATAGGTGTTCTGGTAGGGATAGGTACTGATGGGTAGGTGTCCTGTTAGGGATGGGTAGGTGTCCTTGTAGGGATGGGAAGGTGTCCTGGTAGGGATAGGTACTGATGGGTAGATGTCCTGGTAGGGATGGGTAGGTGTCCTGGTAGGGATGGTAGGTGTCCAGGTAGGGATGGGTAGGTGTCCATGGGTAGGTATCCTGNGGTAGGGATGGGTAGGTATCCTGGTAGGGATAGGTAGGGATGGGTAGGTGTCCTGGTAGGGATGGGTAGGTGTCCTTGTAGGGATGGCTAGGTGTCCTGGCAGGGATGGGTAGGTGTCCTGGTAGGGATAGGTAGGGAAGGGTATGTGTCCTGGTAGGGATGGGTAGGTGGCCTGGTAGACATGCCAATCGTTGAATGGATGGTCACTTTGAATTTCTATTTTAAAATCACAAAACCTCTTCTTTCCATAACTATGATATATCTTATACTTCGCAAATTGTCGGTTTTATTCATTAAATCTTTCTTCCTTGATGTGGTGTTTATGTGGTATGCATTTTGAAAAGTCTGTTGTCCAGCATCTTTATATACGGTATGTATTCTAAAATCCCTGTGGCCTCGTTCAACACATATTTGATATGTATATCTATAAATACTTAGTTGTTTCTGTAACATGTGGCATGCATTGTGATCCAACATCTTTACATGTTGTATGTATTCTATATATCCAGTCTTACATCAAAATCTATTTTATATATGTTGTCTAGCATCTTTACATTACATGTTGTCTAGCATCTAAACATGTGGTCTAGCATTTAAACATGGTGTCTAGCATCTAAACATGTAATCTTGCATCTAATCATGTGGTCTAGCATCTACACATGTGGTCTAGCATCTAAACAGTGGTCTAGCATCTAAACAGTGCAGCGGTCTAGCATCTAAACATGTGGTCCAGCATCTAAACAATTACAAAAAATTGGTATTTGGCTTCGGTCAAACAAACTTGCGATAAATGCATCTAAAACCAAGATAATGATATTTCATCCAAAGGGTAAAATTATTCCAGAAGCTAGATTTTTTTTCAATAATAATGATTTTGATGTTCCCGTCGACCCTGAATTAATTTATCCCATCGAGAGAATTCATAATAATTCTGCCCCCTATCCTGCATATAAAATTCTTGGTGTTTACGTTGATGAAAACCTCACTTTTGATTATCACATTAAAACTGCTCTAAATAAAATCTCAAAGTCTATGTTTTTCTTGAATAAGGTTAAAAATTTTCTCTCGACCTCAGCTCTAAAAAGTATTTATTATGCTCTTGTCCATCCTCACTTTTTATATTGTCTACCACTTATAAGCTGTACCAGTCTAAAAAATATTAATTCTCTGAGTCTTATACAAAGAAAATGTATTAGAACAATTGCAAAAGCTAGATATAATGCTCATTCTGAACCTCTATATTATGAATTAAAGATACTCCCCTTCACGGACCTTATTCTTCATCAAAAACTTTCGTTCATGCATTCCATAGCTTTTAGTTACGCCCCTCCTTCTTTCTATATGGATCCAGTGTTCCCCAGGAATTCAGATATTGAGATGCACCAATACCCCTTAAGAAATCGAGATCAATTTTTTGTTCCTAGATGTAAAAATTTATTTATAAATAGATTTCCCTTGTATTCTTTCACTTCCTGTTGGAATGAACTTGACCCAGANACATGTGGTCTAGCATCTAAACAGTGGTCTAGCATCTAAACAGTGCAGCGGTCTAGCATCTAAACATGTGGTCCAGCATCTAAACATGTAATCTAGCATCTAATCATGTGGTCTAGCATCTAAACAGTGGTCTAGCATCTAAACAGTGGTCTAGCATCTAAACATGTGGTCCAGCATCTAAACATGTGGTCTGGCAGCTAAACATGTGGTCTTGCATCTAAAAATGTGGTCCAGCATCTAAACATGTGGTCTGGCATCTAAACAGTGGTCTAGCATCTTAACATGTGGTCTAGCATCTAAACAGTGGTCTAGCATCTAAGCATGTGGTCTAGCATCTAAACAGTGGTCTAGCATCTAAACATGTGGTCTAGCATCTTAACATGCGGTCTAACATCTAAATATGTGGTCTAGCATCTAAACAGTGGTCTAGCATCTAAACATGTGGTCTAGCATCTAAACATGTGGTCTAGCATCTAAACAGTGGTCTAGCATCTAAACATGTGGTCCAGCATCTAAACAGTGGTCTAGCATCTAAACATGTGGTCTTGCATCTAAACATGTGGTCCAGCTTCTAAACATGTGGTCTAGCATCTAAACAGTGGTCTTACATCAAAACATGTGGTCTAGCATCTAAACATGTGGTCTAGCATCTAAACATGTGGTCTAGCATCTAAACATGTGTCTAGCATCTAATCATGTGGTCCAGCATCTAAACAGTGGTCTAGCATCTAAACATGTGGTCTAGCATCTAAACATGTGGTCTAGCATCTAAACATGTGGTCTAGCATCTAAACATGTTGTCTATAGCATCTATTCATGTGTTGATGTATTCTAAGATTTCTCAAGGTTCTTTAACATCTCTAGTCCAGCAATGCAGACCACTCCTATTCTTTAGGCAGCACAGGAAGAAGAGGAGGAAGTAAGGAGGATGGGGGGAAGGACAATGGTGGACAGGGATGGGGGGAGGGGAAATAAGGAGTGTCTCTCATTGCGCGCTCTTTACACTTTTCTGGTGAAATGAGTAGAAAAGTTTTTTTTAAAGAAATGCTAATATCTGTCAGTCTATTTGTCTGTGTATCTGTCTGTCTATCTGTCTTTCTATCTGTCTGTCTATCTTTCTGTCTATCTGTTTGTCTATCTGTCTGTCTTTCTATCTGTCTGTCTATCTGTCTGTCTATCTGTCTGTCTATCTGTCTGTCTATATGTCTGTCTATATGTCTGTCTATCTGTCTTTCTATCTGTCTGTCTATCTGTTTGTCTATCTGTTTGTCAATATGTCTGTCTATCTGTCTTTCTATCTGTCTGTCTATCTGTTTGTCTATCTGTTTATCTATCTATCTGTATGTCTATCTGTCTATGTGTATGTCTATCTGTCCGTTTATCTGTCTGTCTATCTGTCTGTCTAGCTGTCTGTCTATCTTTCTGTCTATTTGTCTGTCTGTCTATCTGTCTATCTGTCTGTATAACTGTCTGCCTATCGGTCCGTCTATCTATCTGTCTGTTTATCTGTCTGTCTATTTGTCAGTCTATCTGTCTGTCTATCAGTCTATCTGTCTGTCTAGCTATATGTCTATCTATCTGTCTAACTTTCTATCTATCTATCTATCTTTCAGTAAAGGTTAGAATGGACCCCCTATAATATTGATTTCCAAACATAAAAGAACCCATTATCATACTTTCTCACGAATTTAATTTCAACAGAAATCAAATGTCTGTGTCAATACTCAGCCATTTTTCAGGGTATTTCTCTTCGACATATCTTTTACTTAAATTGTATTTTCATAAATAAAGTCTGTGTGCAAATTATTTGCGCCTTTTTGCACTTTGTCAGTTGAGTTTTGTTCGGAAAACTAGTCGTCTTCCGTTTCTACAATTTTTTGGGAACCCCTGTACAAGGTGACAGGACGAGGACAGTATATTAATCCTGTTGATATGCGGATTATACTTCGTATTCTTTGCTATTTCAAATTTGCAAATCCTTATCATTCATTTGCACCTTGATGTTAATCAACATTAGGCCAGCCACTGACCTCAAGGATGAAGTAAAAAATTTCAAATTCAAATCCTTTGCATTTCTGTTCAGTTTTTTTAATGATGTTCATTTAAAAAAAAATTTTTTTTCTTATTTTTTTAAAAATAGTAAATATTCAAGGATAAATACAACAAAGTTTGACGCATACCAAACCTTTTCATACCTTACTTATTCATACTTTCTATGCACATTATAAACCCATAGTCCAGACTGTAAACAGGGGCTTAAACACTTAGAGTTGAGTCCAACCCCCCCCCGCCCCCCGTCGCCACGTGGAATATCATAAAAGGTTTAATTCCCTGGAAAAATTCCCATGCCTTTCAGTTTTTCAGCATGTCTATAGTTCTAGTGTCAAGCTTCTTTAGCTAGTCAATATGTTTTGAGTCATATTATTTATATTTCAGTATAGAATAAATTAGCAAAGTAAATATTTTTAGTAGATATTTTACACACAGATTATTTGTTTTCATGCTTTACCTTTTCACATATAAATTCTGTGCACATTGAAAACAACAAGATCTTAACAAGTATTTGTAAACTAAGCAATTTTCAACTTAATTCAGAAAATAATTATTTCGCCCAAAACAGGGATAATTCAGATAAAAACATCAGGATATTTCAGCATCAGTCCTTGAGTAATACTCCTGAGCTGAATCAGTTATTTGATTGATACTTGTTATCTGAATCAGTGCGTGATTAATACTCATGAGCTGAATCAGTCCTTGATTATAACTTCTGACTCTGAGCTGAACCAGTCCTAGATTGATACTCCTGAGCCAAACCAGTCCTTGATTGATACTCCTGAGCTGAACCAGTCCTAGATTGATACTCCTGAGACAAACTAGTCCTTGATTGATACTCCTGAGCTGAACCAGTCCTAGATTGATACTCCTGAGCCAAACCAGTCCTTGGTTGATACTCGTGATTTATACCAGTCCTTAATTGATGCTCTTGAGCTGAACCAGTCCTTGATTGATATTCTTGATCTGAGCCAGTCCTTGATTGAAACTCCTGATCTGAGCCAGTTCTTAAATGATACTCCTGAGCTGAACCAGTTCTTGATTCATACTCCTGATCTGAACCAGTTCTTGATTCATACTCCTGATCTAAACCAGTTCTTGATTCATACTCCTGATCTAAACCAGTTCTTGATTCATACTCCTGATCTGAACCAGTTCTTGATTCATACTCCTGAGCTGAACCAGTCCTTGATTCATACTCCTGACCTGAACCAGTCCTTGATTCATACTCCTGATCTGAACCAGTTCTTGATTCATACTCCTGATCTGAACCAGTCCTAGATTGAAACTCTGGAGATTTTTTTTTTGCAGCATTTCTTTGTGGAGGCCTCTGCACCATCTCAGTAGCAGAATGAACAAGAGCGGTGGTTATTACTGTTGATCTTGAGAGGTTCATACGATTGGAGCCTAAAACAAAATTTGTAATTAAAGAAACTGTAAGAGTAATTTCAAGTGACCCTCCATGTACAGTGGGCAAAGCCTGATTCACAACGATACCTGTAAAAGTTTTGTCTGATCAAGTTTGAATTATACATCAATTTTTATAATTTGAAAAACTGAATATTTTTAATTGTGGTTTCTCTACAAAAGTTCTATTGCAGGAAACATATCTTATGTTCCTTTATAGTCTACCGCTTTTCCAATGTTAGTTTCATCTATAAAACTACCTGACATGATCGACTGATCTGCTTATCCCAAGATTATCTTCTAGAAGTTTCAACTCTCTTTAACTTTACCAATGTTGTTTCATCTATAAAACTACCTGACATGATCGACTGATCTGCTTATCCCAAGATTATCTTCTAGAAGTTTTAACTCTCTTTAACTTTTCCAATGTTAGTTTCATCTATAAAACTACCTGACATGATCGACTGATCTGCTTATCCCAAGATTATCTTCTAGAAGTTTTAACTCTCTTTAACTTTACCAATGTTGTTTCATCTATAAAACTACCTGACATGATCGACTGATCTACTTATCCCAAGATTATCTTCTAGAAGTTTCAACTCTCTTTAACTTTACCAATGTTGTTTCATCTATAAAACTACCTGGCATGACTGATCTGCTTATCCCAAGATTATCTTCTAGAAGTTTCAACCCTTTTAAACTTTTCCAATGTTAGTTTCATCAATAAAACTACCTGATCTGCTTATCCCAAGATTATCTTGTTCTCTTCTAGAAGTTTCAACTCTCTTTAACTTTTCCAATTTTAGTTTCATCTATAAAACTACCTGACAACTGATATGCTTATCTCTATCTCAAGATTATCTTCTAGAAGTTTCAACCCTTTTAAACTTTTTCAATGTTAGTTTCATCTATGAAACTACCTGGCATAACTAATCTTCTTCTATCAAGATTATCTTGTTCATCTCTAGAACTTTCAACTCTCTTAAAATTAAAGCAAATTTCATCTTTCTATAAACTTTACTTGTCTGTCCGTCTGTTTATTTGTTAGTTAATCCAGGGATGATCAAATTCTCACAAATTTGCCTCTAACAAAATAAGATTTTTAAAATTTTCAAAATCCACAAAAAAAGTTTTTATAAAATCCGTAAAATATGTTTTTGTTTTTTGGTTTTACTATGTGTAAAAACAGAGCATGTTCGAGATTGCAATAGAAGAAGGGCATGCTGCGCCCTAAATTCTTAAAACTTCTAAATCATAGATCCTTGTCCTAAAAATCCATTCAGTAAAATAAGGTTTTGAATTTCTAATATGTAATACTAGCCTTAAAGGGCGCTTCGCGCCCATCTTCTAAATTAATTGTGAACATGTTCTCTTTGTGTACATCGTAAAACAAAACAAAAATAATTCGCGGATTTTTACAAAAAAATTCGTGGATTTTCAAAATTTTCAAAAATTTAATGAAGATCGAATTTTGATGGAGACAAATATTTGAAATTTTGATCATTCATGAATCTTTCCTGTGGTCAAGTGATGACAAAAAATTTGGGCCCGATCGGTTCAGCCGTTATGACGTTTATTGAATACAGACAAACAGACAGACAAGCCAAATTTATATATAGAAGAGCTGGGAACTTTTGTGTTTGATGCTTATAATCCCGATCACTTGATCCCAGTTTCACACTGAGCACACTAAATAATTTGAGGATTAATGCGTTCTCTTCATCTCAGTTATCCCTTCAGGGCAAGTAGATTATAAATTACAATAGATGGCAACGTAGAATTTGTATACTCTCAGTACAGCTGTATTTTTACGTCAAGTGTCAACAGTTTTATGTGTCCAACAAAAATATAAATAATAGTGATAATAATAAGATAATATCTTACAGTCAAATAAGTGCGATTTTGTGTTCTTTATTTTCTGCTTTTACACTTTTTTATTTAATCTTGGAAAACATATCAAATATTTGACACTTGTGACGTCATGAATAATTGGCCCATTTCTTTGTTGCCACCAATTGTACTTCATGAAATATTTGCTTCAGGGTAAAATTAAACTGCGAATTTCGAATGAAGATTGAATAAATCTGCAGATTAATAAAATATAAATATCAAGCATTGATCTCGATATCCACATAACAACAGTTCCCAGCTTTGATAAATTGATTTTTCTATAACTTTGGCATTAAGTTAAAGTTACAGTCTTCAAGCCGTACTAATAATTTGACTTTTTCCTTTTGTGTAGATTGGGGCAACAGTTTGGGGTCATTGTGTACTATTTGGAACCGTTTAATTGGGCGGACTTGTGTTAGCCTTCTTCCATATCTTCTTGATTCATTTCTTCCAGCAGAGCATGGTCTGAAAATAAATAAGTACAATGAGACTAGGGTTTCCAGCGAAGAAAAATTTTCACAAAAAATTGCGCGAAACTTTTCTTCCATATTTGCAACATTTTTCGTGAAATTTCGCATTTTTTCGTGAAAATGAAGTTTGCGAAAGGAAGCGAAAATGGTGCGGAATTTCGTGATGAAAAAAATACACGACAATTCGCGTACAAATTTCGAAAACATTTTCCTCTTTACTGGAAACCCCAAATGAGACACATAATACTGGAGAAGACGACATTTGAGCAACCGTAGGTTTTTTTAAGCAATGAAAAGTAAGTTTAAATATAAACTTATTGATTTGGATTTGTGTATACTATAGAACTTCTGTATATCATATACAGGGTGTCACAGAACTACTGTGTATCATATAAAGGGTGTCACAGAACGGTTGCGTATCATGTGCAGGGTGTCACAGAACTGCTGTTTATCATGTACAGGGTGTCACAGAACTGCTGTGTATCATATACAGGGTGTCACAGAACTGCTGTGTATCATATACAGGGTGTCACAGAACTACTGTGTATCATGTGCAGGGTGTCACAGAACTGCTGTGTATCATGTGCAGAGTGTCACAAAACTGCTGTGTATCATGTGCAGGGTGTCACAGAACTGCTGTGTATCATGTACAGGGTGTCACAGAACTGCTGTGTATCATGTACAGAGTGTCACAGAACTGCTGTGTATCATGTACAGGGTGTCACAGAACTATTGTGTATCATGCACAGGGTGTCACAGAACTGCTGTGTATCATGTACAGGGTGTCACAGAACTGCTGTGTATCATATGAATGTAAGCCGCGGCTCAAATCCCCCAAAAACAAGTTTCAATTGAGTGCCGGCCTTAATCTTTATTTAAAATTTGATACATTTTTAGTGGAACAAACCATATTTGAGCCGTGGCTTAAATTTAAGCAGCAGCTCAAATTCTTTAAATTCGGCCTCAGACCTGCAAACTTTAGATCTGAATATATCCTTAATCCTGATCGGTTAATTAGTCGGGAAATTAATAACATGAGGAAAACAAGCATTATTTAATCTGGAGATTACGAAATAGAGTGGATCAATCATCAATCCCGATATCCACCATTAAAAAAATCCCAGCTCAGTTTCTGGGGTTAAATAAAATTGATTTTCAAAAATATCATGATTTTCTAACCTCCATACACCATAGATGAGAGATCTTAGAGACACATTTTTCAATCCTTTTCTTACGTAGTTTCTCAGTTTCTTATTGAAAAGAAAAGCAACACCTAAGACCAAACATACTATTAAAGAATATCCAGAACTTAATCTCGAATCTTGATATCCAGTTTGAGGACAATTAAATTTGTGAATAGATGCTTGATCCCTTCATTTAAGTTATCCCCCTGATTAGATTAAAGTTCACTCAAAATTAAATGATTTTTTTAATAAAATAATAATTCTACTGGAGTTTGATCAAAATAACAATCATTAACATATATTATGGTTAAAATATTGTTTTTTAGAAAAAAACTGGCATAGCTAGACTTGCATAAAAGAGATTGTATCTATATTGTAAAATAATTCCCGATGTAATCATCTTTGATGTCAGTGACCATTTTGGTACAGTGGTAAGCGGTTATATCAATACAAAAAGACGACATTTTTATTTAAGTTTTGATTGTTAACAAGCCTTTTCGAAATACAAGTTTACAAGTAATCAAAGAGAAGCTTTATTAATTGACAGCTTCTCTGGACTTATATGTCTATGTGCATCCATACTGTTTAACAGCTTGATATAAATCAAAATTTAAACCGAAAGTCGTCTTCATTGTCATTCATTGCCTACCACTGTGTGAAAAAAATGTTAAATAAATTATTTACATGGAACTATGTAGCCGAACACCAACAAAATCCACCTTACAAAACAAGGCTTGCAGCTTCTAAAAAAAATATTAAACAATATTTGAATTTTTTTAAAGCGTGTATCTATTTTAATCAAATACCTGAATTTTGGTGCATTATCAGAACTCTAGGAGTTTGAACAATTGTATTAAAGTTTCAGTTAAATATCTAAATCTGAGTCTAAAACTAAAGAACGAAAAGTTTTGACTTAAATTTTAAGTTCATGGTTAAATGCCACTTCTGACTTAATTTAACCCTGAACTTTAACCGTGAGGTTAAATATTTAACCCTGTGGTTAAATATTTAACTCGCCGAAATCGATGAGTTAAAATTTAAACACAGGGTTAAAATCTTGAAATCCAGAGTCTAAAACTAAAGAACGAAAAGTTTTGACTTAAATTTTAAGTTCATGGTTAAATGCCTCTTCTGACTTAATTTAAACCTGAACTTTAACCGTGAGGTTAAATATTTAACCCTGTGGTTAAATATTTAACTCGCCGAAATCGACGAGTTAAAATTTAAACAGAGGCTTAAATTATCTTGAAATCCTGCATTTTCCCTATTTGTCTTATATTCAATCATCATTCAGCTGCAGCTGAGAAAGCGGCATTCAACTTTACGATACATTTAAAAGTGAAAACCTTGTTAAAGAAATTTCACGTTTTAGATAAATTAATTTTTGGATGTAAACCCAAAAAACGGTTGTATGTCTCGAAATATGTTTTGTTTTCGGTTACGTAATCAGCTGATTAGCGATGGTTATGTAATATTCTCCGTAAATCCTTTTCTCTGATTGGTTCAGATTTTCCCGGGAAATTCAAATTTAAAATTGAGAAAGTTTAATATTTAAGTAGCTACTCATTATTTTACAGAACTTTTAACCTCGAACTTAAAACTCGCGCATTCTTTAGTTTTAGACTCAGGATTTTTCTCTATTTGTCTATTATTCAATCATCATTCAGCTGAGAAAGTTGCATTCAACTTTAAGATATATTTAAAAGTGAAAACCTTGTTAAAGAAATTTCACGTTTTAGATAAATTAATTTTTGGATGTAAACCCAAAAAACGGTTGTATGTTTTGTTTTAGGTTATGTAATATTCTCCGTAAATCCTTTTCTCTGATTGGTTCAGATTTTCCCGGGAAATTCAAATTTAAAATTGAGAAAGTTTAATATTTAAGTAGCTATTCATTATTTTACAGAACTTTTAACCTCGAACTTAAAATTCGCGCATTCTTTAGTTTTAGACTCAGTAAGTAGGAATTGAGTAAGTGATTTATTTACAAAGTATAACAAGTACAAAAGTACAATATAAAGTGTTTAAAACGTGGATATGTAAAATCTTTAAATACATAGATGTTGTTAGAATTTTCTCCAAATTTGAAGGAAAAGTTAGGTCTTTGATTTATGATGGATTGTTAGTATTTTTTTCCCCAATGAACAGTTAAATATGTGGAGTGAGGTTTGTAGATTTTATGCTAAAATTTTTTTTAAATGGGTTTCAAGGTGTGTGAAAATTAATAGGTTATAAACCAACTAAGCATCTTTTTGAATAAACAAATTTTCGCAGAAAAAAAATGGTGGGTCGGTGTTATGTTTTGGAGATGAACAGTTAATAAAAATGAGATATGTAGATTTCATACTAATATTGAAAAAATGGTGGGTCGGTGTTATTTTTTGGAGATGAACAGTTAATAAGAAAGAGATATGTATATTTCATACTAATATTGAAAAAATGATGTGACAAAAATTGCAAGTTTAAGCAAAAAAATTTAAGTCACCATTATTTTTAAATAATTTGTACTTTTTTCGGCAACTGTTATATTCCTTATTGACAATCTCAAAATTAATGGTTTTTGTAGTAAGAAAATATGGACATTTCATTTTCTTTGAGGTTTTAATTTCTTTTATCTGAAAGCCACTTGATAGCAATCCAGCAGTTCTTTACACTGCACTGACACTGTGAAGTGTGCATTGCCATAGAATCTGCTTGATGGACTTAACAAAACAAAAAATGAGGCTTTCCCCCCTTTAAGGGTTAATGATAATTTTGCTATTGCACCTATAAAGCACAAATAAGATCTAAAAAAGGATTCAAAATGGGACTTTAAGCCGTAATGGTAATTTTCAAGTGACCCTCCATGGAAAGAGGGCAAGGCCCTTTTCACAACGGTGCCCTTAAAAACCTGCGACTGTTCATTGAGTAGAGAGATCTTTCTGTTTAAGCATATTGAAACCTGGTTGAATTCCTCTATTTTTAAGCAACAATACGATTTCAATAATTTGTATTTTCAGTCACTTTCAGAAAGTTACTATTGTTACTTATTAAATATATAACAGCTTGCAAACAAAATGTGTCAGTAGATTAATAGGGATATATCTGACGTCCTTGATCAGGTTTAATGGCTACCGTAATAAATCGGGGATGCTTATCTTTAAATGGAAGATTTTATTGGATCTTTTTATCAATTGTTCAAAAATAAGCCTTTGGTATGAGTGGGCACGAATCTGTCCAATTTACCTAAAAAGATAATTAATGATACTGCTAAAGCTTTAATAGACACAACTTTAAATTTGCTTACTTGACTGCTATATTCTGACAGATTTGATTGCACTGAATCAACGCAGGAAGAGTTCATTATTTTTTCATAGCTCTCTCTGTTGTAAATCCTTAAAAAATATTTTGACGGGACTTTCACAACTGTACCTTTTGAACCAGTTTCTAAGAAACAATCGTACTTTTGGTTTTTATTTATTTCGTTTAGGCAAATATCTTCTCTCAGTGTTAAAATTCCATACAGGGTAAGAAAAAAGTTGCGTAAAATTTTGTGAATTCTTTTTATAAGTCCAGAAACCTTAAAAGTGGCAAAAACGAAACGAAATCTAATGCCCAAAACTATTAAGATCACATTTTTCTTAAATCTTTGTTAGTTTTACTCAGAAAAAGGTCAAACAGATATTGATTGTGAATTCTTTAAATAGATGTTCAATAGGAGAAATTTCATCTGGAGTCTCTTAAAATTATTTCTAAAGCCCTATAATTTCTAATTTAAACCAAAGAATCCCAATTCAGTAGTAAATCTTACAAATAAAACAGACAAAATATACAGGTAGGCGTTGTGTTAGTTAGGTCCATTCATTCTATGTGTAATAACATCTTTGAGAACAGCCTTTTCTATTATCTGGCACCAAGCATAAGACCTTTTGCTTCCAGCATTTGAGTTAAATAAAACATGGAACCTAACGTACTTAGTGAGCTACCTTACGACTCCAATTAAAATCATGCTTTTAGTTAACAAATTTTGAATGTAACTAAAATAATGATCAAATATAAAAAATATTCAGAATCTTACACATAATAATGGTTGACCCATGCCAAGCATCCAACAACCATTGCCATGATGCTAGCAGAAGCAGTTAAAGCATTTGATGCTTTAACTCTAGCTTTATTTTTGGGAGCAGCCTCAGCTGCATACACCTAAAAAATAGGAGTAGGAGTAGCCACAGCTGCACACACCTGGAAAACAGGAGTATCTTCAGGTGCATACACCTAGAAAACAGGAGAGAGTAACCTCAGCTGCATACACCTAGAAAACAGGAGAGAGTAGCCTCAGCTGCATACACCTAGAAGACAGGAGAGAGTAAGCTCAGCTGCATACACCTAGAAAAAATGAGAGATTAGCCTGAGCTGCATGCACCTAGAAAACAGGAGAGAGTAACCTCAGCTGCATACATCTAGAAAACAGGAGAGTAGCCTCAGCTGCATACACCTAGAAAACAGGAGAGGGTAGCCTCAGCTGCATACACCTAGAAAACAAGAGAAGTAGCCTCAGCTGCATACACCTAGAAAACAAGAGAAGTAGCCTCAGCTGCATACACCTAGAAAACAGGAGAGAGTAGCCTACGCTGCATGCATCTAGAAAACATGAGAGAGAAGCCTCAGTTTCATACACCTAGAAAGTTTGTGAGCTTTGGCACCAAGGTTTAACAGTTTAAGTGAATCTTGTTAAAATCTTGAACACAGTGAATTTTACTCCTAAATTTATTTCTAGGAATATAATTTTCTTTTTAAATTTCCATCATCCCTTGTTCAAATACTGATATTACAGAAATTTAAAATAATCCCATCAAGAAATTTACAAAATAAAATATTCTTAATCTACCCTTCACAGTTATAAGATGTTTTCAAGTAAATCCTTTCAAATCTGTCAAAACTGGTTTCATTTGAATGCCTGTTTAAATATTGAAACATTGAATGAAATTTTAAGTGAAACTTGAGCCGCATCTCAACTTTAAGCCGTGGCTCAAATTCTTTAAATTCAACTTCTGGACACATTATTAATGATCTCAATCTAGTTAATGATGTAAACGAAGATATTTTAGATATCCTTAATTGTTCATCAAAATTGAAAACACATAACAAAAGTTTCTTTTATTTTTTATATGTAACATGTGATTTAAAAAAAAAATTAAACAAAAGATGCTGTTATTTTGAAACACATTCATTTAATCTTCAGTTAATTTTCAACAATGTTCCAGCCCAAACCTCCCATGGATATTTCTAACATTTTTGAAAAAAATTAAAGTTGAAAGAACATTCTAAAACTAATTACCTTTTTAAATTTGATCCACTTTGCCACATACAATGACACCTTGGATAAATTCAATTTTACAAATAATATGTCAATGACATTTAAAATTAAGAAAAATTTTGCCCATAACTACATTATTATTTAATATTATGTTTTAGGTGTAAATTTTCCTATTCTAAATTTGATGTGGTATAATTTGTTTAAGCTATTTAACATTTATTCATTACATTTGTCCTTATGCATTAGTAATTGTAAGATATTTTTTAGTTTTAAACCTTTTTTAATAATTATTATAGATTTTCTTCAAAAAAGGAAAGAGGAATATTTGATTTAACTTAATCATAAATAAAGGTTTATGATGTAGAATAGGTTCCTTATTCTACTGGTACAGTAGTTCAGCAAAAATAAATGTCCTTTTTAATTTTGAGAAAAAATTAAGAAATGTTTTTTATCAGAGGTTGCAGGACTGTTAAAATTATAATTGCAATAAGATGAATGTTTTTTTTTAAGTTTTTAAATGTAATTATTTACCTGGTAGATTATTGTGAATAAGAAATAGGTTCCTTGACTAAAGCTTTGAGTTT